ACAGCTTCAATTTTGGGAGTTTTCAACCTTACGCACCTGAGATCAGACTGAGTACGTTTTCAGTGGTCGAACGATTGGAAGTTGGGATTGTCAATTTTCTAGACAATACATATGCAGTTTACATTCATCCGGAGTCAGTTACCTTGGTTACCTCGCTTTTTATCGAAGTCTATGACTGCTGAAGTACATCCATGGATTTTCACGCCAACTCTCCAGTTGAGCGCTATCTAAACGCTACACGTCCGAGAGGTACAGGGAAATCTTCGGCCGATTGGTGTTTCCACGTTGGCCAGATGATTGCGTAAGGAACAGCTTGAACTGAATTTTTTCTTAATTCACGATAATATATTGGGTCTCCTATATCTGAAAACTTCTTAATACAGAGAAGTACAGACTTATTTGATATACGTAAATATGAAATGTCTTGAGTAAATGGTGAATATGTTGTAGGCTACGCTGTTTCAGTAGCGTTTCTTGATAATATAAGTTTTTGAGGATTTGCAATTTTCTTAATCGGTAAATTTCTTGATTTTTATTTGTCTGTTTGACAAAATGTAAAACTTGTTTTGCGAGGTTACCTGCTGTTCTAGGGGCAACTCAAAGGCTTCATAGAGCTGTCAACGTCTTTATCTTGTTCACTTTGGAAGCCAAAATTGTATTATATTCATTCACTTCAGCATGGATATTTTTCAAGCACTTCCACGGAAAATTCAAATCAAATGGTTTCACATCGCATTTGAACTGCTGCAAAAATAGTTCTACAAACTCAAAAGCCGCGCTTGAGAGTCCCTTTCCACTTCCTTTGTATTTTAGCAAAAGGTTCGTCACGAACTCTGGGTCACCTATTGTTCCGAAGTCTAGCAATCTTTCTCTGGCTTCTCTTGGCAGACGGGCACGTCGGATCACTCGCATCGCGTTGAACATTCTCGAAAGGTACTTACTCATCTTCATCAAGCACTCCGCCGTGGAGGTACGCCGACCGCAGTGCTGATACTCTTTAATTGCTTCTCCCCAGTTTTCAATCATGGATACCCACAGGTCGAAAGTTGATAGCGGCGTGTAATATTCACAGGTGCTAATTGCATTCATCTGAATTCCCTGTACCACATGTCGTATGGCTCCCCGAGTGTGATATGCCTCAGCAGCGTAGGGTAGGGCTTTGGCGAGGTTAACTGCGAGGAATTCTAATTTTACATAATAACTGTTATTTTAAGCCAAATGTACAAAACAGTAAATTATTAATTAGCGCTCAGGACCAGAGGGGGTACTCTATATTTAAAGTGACAGGGATGATCGAATGGGGGCAAACATCAAAACCCGAAAAATTCTACGGGCTTCAAAAAAAAAACCCAAAAAATCACGGGACCGAACTTTCGTTTGGTTTTACTTTGTTCACGGGACTACGCGGCCGGGAACTATCACCAATCATCAGATTGTTTTGAATACCCATAGCAATATTAACTTAATTAAATCACACTGCGCGAAATGAAAGATACTTGCTAAAGCCTTCCAACAAAAAGAATTCCTGAAATCGAAAATCCAAACCGAAAAAAGTAATTCTTCGATCTTCTCTGGCACTTGAAATCTGGGTGCTCGCGTAACTTTTTTTTTTCAAGTTTAACATAAGCCGCAGCGCATGAAATGGCAACTATCTTTTCCATTTTTCATTCTGCATTTTAGACCATTGTAAAAAAAATGCGAAATTTGTTCCAAATGTTTTACCACATTATCAATGAGAAATATCAACTTTAGTTGAGACGATAAGTATTGTATTGAATTAAGTATGAATGGAACCTTTCGCGCATTTTTAATTATCATTCCATGACAAGACTCAGCTCTTTCAAAAACTTTTAAATCAATCGCTATTCAGTCAGATCTCTAATTACCTGTATACTGTGCGGCATATCCTCCTTTCTTTGACATCTTCTGTAGGTAGTATTGATACTTTTTGTTGTGTTTTCGTCTGAAGCCAGCCAGTTTCTCGTTCGGTCCTTTTTTAAACCCCAACAGATAGTTCATACCTTGAAAGGCTGTAAGCCAATATTGTAACATTTCCAAAGCCTTTTTATCTCCTATTTTCAGTTGGGTAATGGCTCCATTTTTCATTTCATTAAACAATTCATTGTTTTCGTCGTACTTGAAGACCTTGTAATAAGCACTGGCCAATTCTAGCATTTTGTACCGCATCGATTGCTCAAGTTTGTTGAGATTGGAAATAAACCCGGGGAGAAGGTCGGGAAACATTGAGGGCATGGCGAATTCCAGGGTGTAGGCGTAAACATTCGTGTCAAATACAAGCTCCGAGGGTTTGTGGAATGTGTTTTCAAAATAGTCGTTAAATTTCTGGGTGACGGTTCCAGAATCTTTTCCAATAAGCCCAACGTCGTAGTCTGAATTGTATCTGGCGCTTCCATAAGGTTTAGGAAAACACACTCCATCCTTGGGGATCTTCCAGCTCTGTGGAATGTCGGTGTAACTGTCTCTCGTTTCTGTGCAAGCTACTAACTTCTTACCACTTACATCCCAAAGAATATGAGTGACTAATAGATACCGAGCGGCTGTAATTTTAAGAAGTTTGAATTTATCATTTTCTGTCGCTTCTTTCAAAAGTTCCCAAGGTGATTTCGTAAGGTGTTGGTTAAATTTCCGAAAAAAGTTTAGTGCTATTTCTGCTGCTTCGTCGAAGTACTGTCGTCCAAGATGACTCTTAAAGGATGGTTGTGATATCCACTTTGGGTCTTTGTGGTGTCGTTTAAAGCCGTAATCGCTGGTGATTCTATCCAACCAGAGGATATCCATCGCTGTAATGAGGTCGTCGAATCTATAACGGAAAAATGTCTTGTTAACTGAAAATAGCGAGAAAGATAGTTACATTAGAGCTCGGTAATAAAACAATACGAATGTCTTTTTCATCCGATCTTGTCGTGAACTAGCCTCCTACGCGGACGTTCTTTGGGCTCGTCACGCAATCTTCCTCCCCCACGAACGTCTGCTGAAACGAATGAGCACATTCCTTTCCCTTTGTTCAAACAGATCAGACGGAGAGCACGTGGAGATCACCAAAGAGCCAATTGGCGCTTGGTTATTGTTCAATAGAAGGCCAATCATAAGCTGTGATAGAACAACCCCAAGAGGGGGTTTAATTTTCTCGCGTTTCTTATTACTCATGGAAAACAGTTCTCAAAACCTTGCTTCAGAAACTCCAAAAAAAATCGTCGGAAAAAACTATTTTCTGTACAGTTTTCCGTTAATCCCGCAGGCGAGAATAAGAGTGTTTGATAAGAGTTCAGTGGATATTGCACACTTAATTGAATGCGCTGTGCAAACAGATTTGAGTGTGTTTTCGTACAGCGACCGGTTCGTCTGCAATAATTGCTACAAGCGGTTACTTCGTTTTGAAAAAGTTAAAACAAATAAATGCGATCCCTTCAGGATGAGATAAAGGAAGACTTTAAGAAAGTAGAAAATAGAACGAAACGCTTACGTCGAAATTCCGCTGAAAAGGACGGGGTCATTCAGAACATTGACGTGCCGATCAAACTTACAACAGGTTTACATGTGCAGCAACGATCTGCAACGAAATCACTGAAATTTGAACAATCCCCTACCACTTCTACTTCTTCTAACGCCGAAAATGATCGAACAATAGGCGAAAGTTATGATATACTCGGTGGAAGCACTTAGCTAAGTGCCCCGGAAACACCGTCAACAAGGGAAAATTCATCAAGGTTCAAAGTTCGCTACCTTGATCGGGAAGTACGCTGTGATTGGTCTAATTAAACAACCCATTCGTTTCAGCAGACGTTTGTTGGGGAGGAAGATTGCGTGACGAGCCCAAAGGACGTCTGCGTAGGAGGCTAGTCGTGAACTATTTAAATAATGATAACGATGCAAAATGTAGTCAATACAAAATACGGCGAAGTAATTGCTATCTAATGTATTTGTAGGAGCTAAGCTCTCGGTTTATGCAATAACTCGCACCTTTCAGTGATGTTTTTTCCTTGGAAAGGCTCAATTTCGTCGTTTTTCTGCGAATCAATCGGCTGGTGTTCATCAGAGTCCACCTCGAACATGGAAACTGGAAAGAGCTCGCTGGCGCTCACCTGTCAGGCAGTATACGCAATAAAGATTTTGCTCATTACATAGTATTCCTTTATTCGGCTAAAAATTTTACAACTTAACATCAGCATTGATATTAACATTCTCCAATTTTGTTAAAAATCAAGAGCTTTTCAATTTTGTAATCAACTCCTTAATTTTTCTCTAGCCTAGCACTTGATTCAGAAGTGATATTTTAGTGTGAAATAATGCATGTCACTCTCAGAGGCTGAAGGGTTAACTTGGAGAGTACGGAATCATTTCAACCGCGAACGAGTGTTAATATTTTAAGAAATTTCCCAAACGTTTTAGTCGAAGATCTTAGGTAGATCTAGCCACTATTATAAGGTACTAACTTATAGTCAGTAAAACACAGTTGGTGAATTTTGTACATATTTCCTGGATACAAAACTTAAAACTAATTATTTTATCTTGATTTTCATCACTCACCACATGTCGTTGCACTAACATGAAAACCAGGATACTCAAAATGGACATCATGTTAGAGTACCTGAAAATTCTATAGGAAAAAGAAAATAATCATTATAATAAGTCGGAATCTGTTTCAGTGTCTTAATTAAGAGCCACTGACCATAAGTATCCAGAATCCGCCGACAGTTGCAAAATTTCGCAATTCATTTTGTTTTTCCTTAAGAACCCTTTTGATGAACTTTTTTCAAATTATATCAAAAAGCTTTTATCGCGCTTTTTCTCTGAGAAGACAAGTCCAAATACGCCTAAATGGCCGTTGTCCCCAACGTAAAGAAATGAAACTTCGGCAAACTCGTACGCCACAACGCGCTACAATCCCGCTTTCAAATTTTTTGTGCTAGCAGATGATCCTTTCCTCTCTATGAAAGTGTAAGGGTTAAGTTGAAAACAAATTAGGACTCTTCAATCAATCTCTCTCCCAAATCCCTAAATTATAGCACCTAGTAAGAAGCCATGGTTTTCAAAGAAAATAAGGTGCTTTTTACTGATCAGCGATATTCTTTAAAAACCTTCATCCTACTTTTGGATTTGATGTAGCTACTTAAGGGACCAAGACTTAAAGCTGTAACTTAACGAATAAAATATTTGCTTTAAGCCCAATACTGTGTAGTGTCTGAATGTTGAGTGGGACTCAGTTGTGAACGACAAAAACTGCACTTGATATATTGTATTCGTGGCCTAATATAACGGCTGGACTAGCCACCAGCTGGTGTTTAATTACTAATAATTTCGAATTATGGTCTTTAGGATGGCTGACGCAGGTATTACCATGGATAATTGGTTTTTTAAGTGCTTTTCTTTATAGTGTACTAATGGTTTTAGGTTTCATCCTGTTTTAAATGTCCTGCGTTTCACTGATTGAAGTTCTTTCTTTATTATCAGGGCCTCACTGAAAACCGCTATGGCGAGCTGGGTTCCCTCGTTAAATAATATTATTATTATTATTATGGCTTGCATACGATAGAATTTACACCACGAAGCCGACAATCCACCGCTTTGATCTTGAAAATTAAATGAACCCATCAACACGATAAGCCACGATGACAACAATTTTCAAAACAAAAGCGCCCGGGTGTAAAATGTTAGGGTTTTTCTTTGTTTGACATTTTTCGGACAATTTCATTTTATTACCTTTGTTTCACGAGATGCTGATGACAAGACTTAAAAAAGGATAAAAATAAAACGAGTGTTTCTACAGCTATCCAAGACGTGCAACTGAGAGAAAAGCGTTCATCCAGTCAGGGCAATAAATTTAAACTAGTTTTTCAAGGTCGTTTTTAACTGAAGTGCTCAGATGGGCCAAGTACTAGTTAATTGACTCCGTTTTGTGGTCTAACCCTAAACAACCAGTCGTGGTTTGTTTGTCTCGCTTTATTACCTCCTAACCAAGAAACTAAATGAAGTCAAGCTTGCAGATCAAAATCTTACTGAACAAAAGCCTTATCCTCTTTTGACAAAAGGCAACGCTTTTGTACACGATTTCCCACTGCTGATTGCATGAAAGTAGAGACACTTAAAGGTGTCTGAAGAACCCTTTTTCCCCACTCACACTTCTACGAGTACGTAGTTGCACCAGGCATATCTTTTAAAAGCTTATTAAAGCTTTTTAAAGGACTTGTTTTGAACGCGTAGTAGCACTGATTTGTTGGACCATGGTTAATAAAGGGAAATTTTTATGAAACGCGGTAAGCTTCAAAGACATACTGTCGTTGTCTTTTTTTATTTGAATTCATGTGACAATCACCGTGTGTGTGTGCGCACGCGCACACACACAGACACACACAGACACACACACACACATACACACACACACAGACACCTCAGATCGATAATGACAAGGTGTTTACATGTGAGAAACACTTCGATCCTGGTTGAACAGATCTTGTCGCTTTCATTCTGCCGTGACAGAGTCATTATTAGCACCCGTCGCACTTGCACTGGCCACAAGCTCACTTATTAAGAAAAAATAGTGCAATTCCCTTTTTCTGATTAGCTATATTCTTTGAAAACTTGTATCGTACCTTTAGATTTGAGGTAGCTGCTTAACAAGACTCAAAGCTGTAACTTTACGAATGAAGTATCTGCTCTAAGACAAGTATTTTGAAGTGTCTGAAGGTTGAGTGGGACTTGTGAAAAAAAAAAAAACTGCGCTTGAGATATTATATTCATGGCCTAACGGCTGGATTCGCCACCAGCTGATGTTTAATTACTGATGATTTCAAATTATGTCATTAGGATGGCTGACACAGGTATTACCATGGATAATTGATTGATAAGTGCCGTTCTTTCTAGTGTACTTAATGGATTTTGTGTTTCATCCTTCTTGTATCGATTTAGTTGTTTTACGTTTCACTGATTGAAGTTCTTTTCTAATATGATAGCTTGCATGAGATAAACTTTACATTGCGAAGCCGACAATCCATCGCTTCGATCTCGAAAATTAAACTAACCCATCTACACGATAAGCCACGATAACTCTCAGTGGTGGCCTCACAATTAAAAAAGTCAATGTTATTAGTTTTTAAAGCGAGAATGCCCAGGAACAAAATGTTAGGGTCCAAATTTATTCTTTGTTTGACATTCTTCGATCAATTTTCATTTTAATCATCTTTTTTTTTTTCTTTTTTTCTCTCACGAGATACTGATAACAAGACAAGAACACAAGAAGGATAAAAGTAAAATGGGTTATTCTGCAGCTATCCAAGATGTGCAACTGAGAGCCGCAAAGCGTTCATCAAGTCGGGACAACTAGGTAGTTTTTTAAGCCCACTTTTAAAGCAATAAGATAGGCCAAGTACAAGTTAATCGACTTCGTTTTGTGGTTTGACTCTGAACAACCAGTCGACGTTTGTTTCTCTCCCTTTTATAACCTCATGTCCAAAAAGAGTTCTAGATCATGATTGGAGATCAAAATCTTACAGAACAAAAGCCTTATCCTCTTTTGACAAGAGGTAACGCCATTGTCAGCGATTCCCCTCTGCTTTTTTATTGTTTCACGATAATTACCATTGCTAAGTGCATGTGAGTAGAGATAGTTAAAGGTGTCTGAAGAACCCTTTTTCTCCACCAGCACTTGTTCGAGTATGTAGTTGCACCAGGTGTACCTTTTTTAAAGCTTAAAAGATTTCAAAGAGCTCGTTTTAAAAGCATATGCATTAAAGCGGAGGAGCACTGCGTTGGTAGAGTGATTTGTCACTTCTATTCTGCCATGACAGAGTCAATTACCACGCATTAGTTATACCAGCTGACTAAAATAGGCAGACTGGCCACTATAAACCAATCATCATTTTGACGGAGTTAAGAGTCATTGGTGAGATTCTGATTCAGAAGTTTTAAACATTGTCGGTGTTATATTAGGACCTGAAGTTCTAAAACATACGATTTTCCGTAAGATTTTCTACAAGTCCTGATTAGTCAACTCCATTTTCTCTTGACTTTAATTACCGTTTATGTCGTCAATTGAGATCGAGGGAAGTTGAGAATTCGCGTTTTGTTTTGAATTCTCTTTCAGAAAACTACACTCCTAACTCTAGGGTTAGGGCGTTTCAATGATAATAATCTTTTCCTAAAAGTGGAACAGACTACAAACTCGAAAATAACAAATATTTAGTAACCATTAAGATTAAATGACATTAAATAAGTCAACGTTTTCTGGCTCACAAATGTTTTTTTTTCGGCACCGTCTAGTCTTAACTGAGTGTACTTGGCGAATAACCTGGGCAGAACTACTCAGTATTGAATACATGTAATGAGGTTTTAGTGGAAAACTGAAAGAATTGTTAGTTTATCACATTTCATCAGGTTTCATTCAGGTAATTCACAACAGGACCGTTTCTAAAAGTAGCTAATTTGCTCAAGATCACCATGCTTGTGTTTCATAAACGATACTTGGAAAGTAAGAAACATTCTCTGACAAATATATATCCCCTTACCCACGATTTAATTTTTTACCTCTTCTTGACGTTTCAGAAAAGTCTACTTTTTAAAAACTATCCGTTTCAATCAAAGAAATAAACTCTTTTTGTTAAAAACCTTTTAACTCACCCTTGATTTGATTTACTTCTTGAAGGACAGAGACTCAAAGGAAGACAAAGCCCCAATATTCAGTCAGTCTACGCTCTTTTCGAAAGTTGAATGAAATCTCAAAGCACAAAGGACTACTGAGATTTACAGCTAAAAGTGGTCTTTCCACACGCGTTGGGACGGTTAATTACTAATGATTTCAAAACATGTCATTGTTAAATTTATTACAGTCGCTACCAGACATTGCTGGTTGGTAAGATGCTTTTTCCGGTAACATGGTAATGTGGACTTTTTTTTCCATTTTTTTAACTTTTTTTCTGAGGTGCAGTTCACCTTAGAAATAGAAAAAATATTTTATCAACGGTCTAAGCAGACTGCAAAATCTAAAAGAACAAATGTTAACCATTCAATTTTAATGACATCCAAAAAGTCATTATTTTCTGCCTCACGTTTTGTTTTCGACATCTATTGTGTTCAGTTTACTTGGCTGACAAATAAGTTTTCATTGCATTAGATGACTTTTTTATGGAAAACTGAATGAGTTGTTTCGTACGGTCAGGAAAATCTTCATTCTAGTAATTAACATTTAGAAAACAAGAGGGACATTGTAAACTTTAATGTACCTAAGAAATAGGTCGAGTTCACAACATTTAAGTTAAATTAACGATTCCTAAAACGTAAGAAACATTCTGATACATTTACTTTTTAAAAACTTTCTGCTTCAATGAAAGAAATATAAGCCTTTTGCTAAAGCCTTACCCTTGATTTGATTTTCTTCTCGGAGGGCAGAGACGCAAGGGAAGAAAAGGCCTCAGTCATGATATATCACTCGTGTACGCTCTTTTCGAAAGTTGAATGAAACCTCAAAACACAAATGAATACTCAGATTTACAGCTAAAAGAGTCTTACCACACGCGTAGGGACGTTTAATTACTAATGATTTCAAAACATGTCATTGGTAAATTTAATACAGTCGCTACCGGCAGACTCTACTGGTAGGATGCGAGTAAGATGCTTTTTCCGGTAACATAGCGATGTAAATTTTTTTTTTTTACTTTTGTAATTTTTTCTTTCGAAATGCTTGCTTGCAATTCACCTTTGAAAAAGAAATAATGTTTTCTCAATGGTCTAAGCAGACTGCAAAATCTAAAAGAACAAATGTTAACCATTAAATTTTAACGGCATCTAAAAAGTCAGTATTTTCTGCCTCACGTTTTGTTTTCGACACCTATTGTGTTTAGTTTACTGAGCTGACAAATAAGTTTTCATCACATTGGATGACTTTTTTCGTGGAAAACTGAAAGAGATTACTGATTACAATTTTTGTTTTGTAGGGTCAAGAAAATCTTCATTCTGGTAATTCACATTTAGAAACCAAAAGTGACATTTGTAAACTTTAAGGTACCTATAAAAAATAGGTCAAGTTTACAACATTCAAGTTAGATTAACGATTCCTGAAAAGTTAGCGGGAACATTCTAGTGGTACATATCTTCTCTAACTCACAATTTTACATTTTACCTCTTTTCAACTCTTGAGTTAAGTCTACTTTCTAAAATCATCAGTGTCCATCGAAGAATTATATTCTTTGGTTAAAAGTCTTATAGTCACCTTTCGACTTGACGTATTCCTCAAAGGCCACTGACTCAAATGGCCCGACACTGGCACTAATGTCTAGTGTGAGCTCTTTTCGAACGTTGAATGAAACTTCAGAGCACCAAGGACTACTGAGATTTACAGCTAATCATGGTCTTGTCACAAGTGAAGGGACGTTTAATTTTTAATGAATTCTAAATATATCGTTAGTAAATAACTAAACTAGAAACAATGAAATTAAGGGATCCAACAAACTTTCCTTTCACCTATCCACATAATGTTGATAAATGCATAGCAATAAATACTGGTTCCAACTGTTAAGCCGAAGAAGTAAATAAAATTACCTTAAAAACATCCGGATATCATTAAATTCATTAAACAGTCTTTTTTTAACTGACTTTCAAAACAAATCAAAACAAACGCTTTAAAACTTCCCCGTGGACTTTCGACTCTTTTTCACCGGCACGAAGATTACCCTTTAGACCATAAAACCGTCAAAAAGTGTTGGAAAAAACAACCTTTAACTTTTGAATTACTTTTACCCGTCATACGTAAACTATTTAACTGTCATAACTGCTAGTCCAGATAACAGCTTTGGTTACAGTAGAAAGTTTAGAGCTGCCCTATTTTTTTCACCTAAAGATGCAATTCAGCCTAATAAGGTTTGTCACGTTTTCGGGCTTTCTTATTAAATGCTGGTATTTTTCCGTCTTAGGGTAACCTCTATATCAGATAATTACATTCACAATCAACGAGAAATTGTTCAAAATAACTCCTATTGATTCAACGTAATCCTAGTAAATTCAGGTTCGCCGTTTAGTTAACTTGAAAACAAATTATGACTCTCCAACCCATCTCTCTCTCTCCTCAAGCTCTAAATTATAGCCGCTGGTAAGAAGCGTTAGTTAAAAAGAAAGTGCTTTTGGCTGATTGGCAATATTCTTTAAAAATTCCTATCTCACCTTTGTTTTTGATGTAGCTGCTTAAGGGACCAAGGCTCAAAGCTGTAACTTTACATATGAAGTATCTGCCTCTAAGACCAATATTTTGTAGTGTCTGAGATTGAGCGCTTGATATATTATATTCATGACCTAACGGCTGGACTCGCCACCAGCTGATGTTTAATTACTAATGATTTCAAATTATGTCATTGGGATGGCTGACACAGGTATTACCATGGATAATTAGCTGTTTAAGTGCTTTTCGCTTTAGTGTACTTAATGGATTTTATGTTTCATCCTACTTGTATCGATTTAGTTGTTCTACGTTTCATTGATTGAAGTTCTTTCCTAATCTGATGGCTCGCATGAGATAAAATTTACTCTACGAAGCCGACAATCCACCGCTTCGATCTTGAAAGTTAAACGAACCCATCAACACGATAAGCCACGATGACACTCAAGGGTGACTTCGTAATTATGACGGTCACTGTCATTAATTGGTCAATTTTCATTTACCCCTTTTTTTCACGAGATCCCGATAACAAGACAAGAAGGCAAGAAGGATAAAAGTAAAATGGGTTATTCTACAGTTACCCGAGATGTGAAACTGAGAGCAAAGCGTTCATAAAGTCGGGACAATTAGTCAGTTTGAAGTTCGTCTTTAAAGCGCTAAGATAAGCCAAGTACAAGTTAATTGACTTCGTTTTGTAGTCCAACTGAACAGCCAGTCGACGTTTGTTTCTCTCCCTTTTATAACCTCATAACCAAGAAACTAAATTAAGTCAAGCTTGGAGATAAAAAATCTTACAGAACAAAAGCCTTATCCTCTTTTGACGAAAGGTAACGCCTTTCTCAACGATTCCCCCCTGCTTATTTATTGTTTGACGATAATTACCACTGCTAATTACATGTAAGTAGAGATACTTAAAGGTGTCTGAAGAACCCTTTTTTCCCACCAGCACTTAATTCTGCGAGTATGTAGTTGCACCAAGCGCAGTACCTTTTTAAAAACTTAAAAGCTTTTTAAAGAACTTTTTTGAAAGCATATGCATTAAAGCGGAGGAGCACTGCATTGTTGGAGGGATCTTTTCGCTTTTATTCTGCCACGAAAGAGTCAATTAACACGCATTAGTTGTACGAGATGACCAAAATAAGCAAACTGGCCACTGTAAACCAATTATCATTTTCACGGAATTAAGAGTCATTAGTGAGATTCTGATTCAGAAGTTTTAAACATTGTCGGTGTTATATTAGGACCTAAAGTTCTAAAACATACGATTTTTTGAGCTATGCTACGTACACTAAGTCTTGATTAGTTAACTCCATTTTCTCTTGACTTTGAATTATGTCGT